CTGAGCAAGTGAGGCCTGAGGGCGACTGTACGCCTGCTTCTTCAGCACGGCGATCGCCCTCTGGAGGGCGTCCACGGACTCTGAGTAGTCCTCGCAGCGGCGCGCATGCGGTCGTCATCGCCGCCGCCCCCGCCGTCGCCATCGCCGTCGCCGTCGCCGTCGCTGTCATCGTCGTCGTCGGCGTCGTCGTCGGCGCCGCCATCGTCGTCGTCGTCGACGGCGTCGCGGTCGCGATCGTCGTCGTCGTCGTCGGCGCCGCCGCCGCCGTCGCCGTCGTCGGCGTCGGCGTCGCCGCCATCGTCGTCGGCGTCGCGGTCGCGATCGTCGTCGGCGTCGTCGTCGGCGCCGCCGCCGTCGTCGTCGCCGCTGGGAGCAGGGCCTCGCCGCAGACGGCGTCTTCTCTGGCGGGAAGAGCTCTCGCCGCCAGGGCCGGCCGGGCGACTCAAGAAAAGATGGGCCAGGACGGGCCCAGGGTTAAGTCGGGCCTGTCCCCCTACAGGCGGATTTCCGAGGAAAAAAATACCCCAAAAGTACCCCAAAAGGATAACAAATACTGAAAAAATAGTCCCCAGACTATTTGGGGATTTTTGTTTTTATTATTTGTTTCGTATTTTTTTATTGCTCGTCGAAAATCTCCCTGTAAGGGGAAAGGCCCGACTTAAGCCCAGGGCACGGGGGGGAGGGCCACACTGCAGGGGCCCAGGGACGCAACAAAAAAGCATGGAGACACACGTCCCAGGTGTCGCCCATCTCTTCCCATCTCTGCTGGGTGGTCTTCCCCCCCACTTCCCATGGCGTCCCACCCTTCCCGGGGAGATCGACGCTGCATCGTGCCTGCGTCTGTGCCAACACGGCTGGGCGCAGCCTGAAAAGCCCGATGCCCAGGCACATCTGGGAGGGGTCCAGGGCCCCTCGTACGGTCGGACCTACGAGCCTCGTCAGGGATATAAACGGACACGCCGTGAAAAGTCGAAGCGCCCGCCGATGGTTCGGACAGTTACCTGTCAGACCACGCGTTCTTCAATGCTGTGAGGGTACTGCCCGATTTCGGACACCCCTGCGTCAGGGCCGAATATCTCATGACAGCATTGAGGCAGCACCGACCACACAAGCACCGAACACGATGGCCGTCAACGTATGTTTGACGAGTCTTGTGGGGCAGAAGAACGTCTCTCCAGACCATGAAACCCTCCGCCAGCCAAACCGAAGAACATTCGAGGGTGCCCTCCCCAAGGATGCACAAGAGCGCCCAACGAACACGAAGAACATCAGGGCACCCTCCCCGAACCGACCTCGATCGGCGGTGGACAAACCTCCCTTTAGTAAACCTCCCTTTAGTGAAAACGGCCTAGGACCGAAACCGACGGACCTGGACCCGCAAAAATAACGGCCGCGACGCCCTCTCGCGAACCGAAAGCGGCCAATTCACTCATCGACGCGTCGGGGCAGGAGGTCTGTCAACCTCCGACTCGATCTCAGGCACCGGTCGGGCCGCAAACGACTTCGGGCCGGGGTCGGGGCGAAGTGTGTGGGGAGGGGTAAAACGACGAGAAGATCGGGACAAAATCGGATCGGGATAACTCGAAATCTCTGAGAATCGGCGGGTTTGAAGGACGTATTGGGCGCCGCGGCCGCTCCAGAGCGTTCCGGAACGCTCTGAGAGCGCTCCGGAACGCTCTGGATCGATGTATCCCGATCGTAACCCTGTTTTAAGGGGGGGGGGCCCTTTCCCAGAGCAGCGGGGGGCTGCCTGGAGCCGTGGACCCGGGCCCCCCCCTCCTTCGTTCGGGGCAAAGTGTGTGGGGAGGGGGGGAGGGCCTCTCCACGAGCAGCGGGGGGGCTGCCTGGAGCCGCGGACCCCCCCCCCCCCCCTTCGGGGGGCGCCGTGCGCACGGCCCCCCACGCCGCGCCGCCACGGGGAGCGCACGGAGGGAGAGAGCAGCGGCGGAGGGGGGCTCTTCTGGCCACAGCGGGCCCGGGCCGCCCCCCCCCAAAAAAACGAGCCTCCTCGGCACAGCTCGGAGGGCACGGAGCCCCGCTCCACCGAGGCCCATCCCCACCCGCGCGGGCTGGGCGCCCCACGGGCCGAGCTGTCCCCCCCATAAGGTGGGGATGCAGGCTGCTCTCCCCTCGGGCCTCGAGGGGTATGTATGTCCCCAATCTGGGGCGGCGAGGTGCCGGGAGTCGGGAGGGGGAGGGGGGACGGGGGTGGGGATCGGTCAAGCGATGCTGAGGCACGGCCCGAAAGCCCGACCCTCCCCCCCCGGGCCCAAAACGGCCCCTGCTTCGGCGTCCCGGCTGCGGGCCTCCCGAGAAGCCGGGGAGGCGGCCTCCGAGAGGGCGTGTATACGAGGCCGATGTGGCATCACAGCAGCAATTTGGCCCCTGACGTTACCTGGGCTCGGTGTAGTGAAGTGATGAATTTCGGGGTCCTTACGTGAGAAAAAACATCACTTCACTAATCTGGGGCCCCTGGGGCCTCAGTGGGCCCTGGGGCCCAAAATTAGTGAAGTGATGGTTCTCGGGCCTCGGAGCGTGGCACCTGCCTGGAAGAGACGAGCGCGTTCCACGACTCGCAAAAGTACCTGCTCGCACATGGCCAGGATATCCGCCGTGCGGGAGTGCCGATCCCGTGCACCGAGGCAAACACTGAGTGGTTTCGGACGTCTGCAAGCAGTAGGCACCTCGCGCGCAGCGGCACGCGCTCGGTGGTGGAAGGTACCCTCCCCCTGGCTCGGCCCCCTTGTGCGTGCGGCCGGCCTTGTGCAGGGCGTCGTAGTCGGCCTTCTCCAGCTCGCGGACCTTCCGCGCCGCCGTGGCGTCGCCCTCCCAGGCCGCGATGTCCGCCTCGTGCGCGGCTATCTCGGTGGCCAGCTGCGCGGCGTCCGCGGCGTGCTTCGCGATGCTCGCCTCTTCGGGTGCTGCCAGCAGTGGTTCTGGCCCAGGGTGTCCCCAGGATCTCCAGATGAGGCCCAGACGGCCTCCAGAGCACCCCTCGCGAGGCCCGGGGGCCCCAAAGTTGGGGGAGAAACTGAAGACACCTTAGGCCAGGACCACGTCTGGCAACACCCAAGCCTTGAGCATCTCGATCTGCTCGGTGCCCTCCTCGATGGCCCGCTTCTTCTCCACGGACGCGTCGTCGCAGAACTGCTTGTAGGCCGCGAACTGCACCTGCTCCTGGTGTTTCTGGTCCTTGCCTTTTGCAAGCATGCTCTCGAGGAGCTGGACCACCTGAGGCCCGGACGGGGGTTCTCGCCTCGAGGGTACAGCCCTCGTGCTACCATACAGTCGGACCTGGGCCAGAAGAACATCCTTCAAGAGCACGCGACCCTCCGTCTGTCAACAAGCAGAACATCCAAGGGCACCCTCCCCAGGACGCACAAGAACGTCCAAGAAGCAGGAAGAACATCAGGGCTCCCTCCCCGAATCGACCTCGATCTTTAACCTCTGCCCGACTGTACGACAGGCTCGTGCCGTGGCTAGGCGCTGGTCTCTGACACCGTGTGGGCCGTTCCGCCTGGAGCGATCGCGCCGTTCCGACAGCGCCCTCATCGTGCGATGTCGGCTGATCTCGCGCCACCGGCGACCTTCACCCCTGAACGCCCGCGCGGGCACCCCCGCCGCGTCAACGCGGCGCGAGCCGATCGTGCCCCCCATACGCTGGCCAGGGGTAAGCCCTAGGGATAGCTCTAGGGTGGCCCTAGGAGTAGGCCCTGGGGGTAGGCCTAGAGTAGCCCTAGGGGTAGGCCCTGGGGGTAAGCCCAGGGTAGCCCTGGGGGTAGGCCCTAGGGGTAGGTTCGACGCGCCCGGGCCCCGACGCGGGCGGCAGGCTGTGGACACTCCGGCGAGGCGCGCGCGGATCCCACACCCCTCGGCGATGCCAAAGAAGGGGGACGGCCTCTCACCCTGGAGTCCCGCCCTGGGTGCCCCGAGAGCGGTGGGTATATCTACGTGGGGCCTGTCCTCCTACAGGGGGCTGTTGGACGAAAAATAACAAGTAGTCAAAAAATACACCAAAATGGCACAAAGAAATACTCAGAAAATCGCCCCCAGACTATTTTTGTTGACTCGTGACTACTGTAGAGGGGTAGGCCCGACTTCAGGGTATATCCGCCGTGGATGCGTTCTCGCAGGCAGGGGCGGGCTGGCACAGCCAACCCGTATCCTAAGGATGCGCGACAAGGCTGCAAAGGCCCTGGACGCCCAGATCGAAGCTTTTCGGGCGGGGCGCGGCCCACGGAAGTGGCCAAGGATGGGCCGAGGAGGCAGGGATGCAGCAAGGCACCCATTGGGAAGGCTGCCCATCCTTACGGTGCGGGTTGGCTGTGCCCTGGAGTCGTGCCCCGGGTGCCCCGAGCGCGGTGGCTTATCCGCCGCGGATGCCTTCTCGCAGGCAGGGGGCGGGCAGGTAGCTACGGCGTGGACATTGTGACGGCACACGCTACAGTGTGGGCATTGGATAAGGAGACCTTCGATCAGGAATCCAGAGGCTGGAAGCCGGTGGCACTCCAATCGTGGATGGGTCATGGATATCACCGCCGCCCTCATCAGATAAGGAACCCTCCAGGGTCTGCAGCCTCTTGGGCACAGCCCTTCACGAACGCCACCACCGTGTCCAGGTGCGCGCGGGGATGCCTGCTCAGCGTCGGCGTGGTCCACACCGCGGCGAGAGCGGGGAGCACGAGAGGGTTTGGGGGGGCCCCTAGCATGCCTACGAGAGCACAAGCATATGCCTGAGACCGACTCGCTCCACCAGAAACTTTGGACGGCCCACAAGGGGGGGGTCCAGCTGCCAAAAGGGGGCGGTGCCATAGGTTTGGGGCATCTGTACTGCAGAGCTGCTGCGCCAGAGACGTGTACCGCATCGTATTGCAACGGATGCACTGCACGCGAAAGCCAAGCAACACGTTTGCGCACCCGAATGCACGGCACACCCCAGAATCTGCTGCAGCCCCACAGATCTATTGCACCAAATCTATTTACTGCACCACCCCTTGCCATCGCTCGGACGTCCATTTCCTGTGCATTCTTCGGTTCCGTGCGTGTTTTTGTTGCTCGATGGTCCAGGATGGTCCTCGATGGTTCTCGCCGAGGAAAAAAAGCACACGTCCGAGCGATGCCAGGACCCACTGTTTCTCGCTGGAACCCCTCTTGGGCCAACCAGAGGCACGCCGCCCACGGCACACGCGCTCCGCAGCCCAGAGCGGCAGAGGCCTCGGCCGCGGGGCGCTCCCGGGCTCTCGACGCCGGCGCTCGCCGGAGCAAACCGACGCGGGGGCGCGCAGACGTGCATTAGCGATCCTTGGATTTGGCGCGCGGTTGCCAAAGCCAGCGATCGGGAAGGTTAAAACAGGGCTAGGATCGGGATAAATCGCTCCAGAGCGTTCCGGAGCGCTCTCAGAGCGTTCCGGAACGCTCTGGAGCGGCCGCGGCGCCCAATACATCCTCCAAACCCGCCGATTCTCAGAGATTTCGAGCTATCCCGATCCGATTTTGTCCCGATCTTCGCGTCGTTTGAAAGGTGCTGCCCTCCCCAGAATGCGGCCGGTGCCGCCTCGCTCGGCGGCGGAAGTCCGCGACCTCCCAGGGAGGCGGGACCCGTCGCTGCTCCACGCCCCCCCAGGATCCATGCTTGCGGTCGCCCGACCGAAGACGGGGAGCCCGAGGGCCTCGAGCCCCCCCGTGGGCCTCAAATCTGGGCGAGACCGGCGGGCTCCCCAAAGGAAACGCCGGCCACTGCCTCCCCAGCGCTTGGTGCATACACCCTGCGAAATGCTTAAGAAATCATGGGTTAAGAAATTCATAGTCTCAGAATTTATAGATAAACAAAAAAAACTATTAAAATCTTCGGATTTACATGGAAACATTAAGAATAATCGAGACTCTGGCCGAAAACTTCAGTTTTCTTAAGCATCGCCTAAGGTGTAAAGCACCGGCGGGCGCAGCGCCGCCGCAGCGCCCACGGCTCCACCGCCCCCCCTCGAGGCCCCGAGGCCCCGAGCGGTGGCCATGCGGACGCCGCTCTCCGGCGGCGCGGGCTCTGCGAGAGCCGGCCGGTGCATCACACACACACACACACACCAGTCAGCCAGCCAGCAGAGCCAAGCATCGAGTCCGGCCTATCCTCCTACAGGCAGATTTTGGAGGAAAAATTAGAAATATGCCAGGAAGAACTCAAAACAGTCAAAAAAAACAACAACAAATAATCTCCCCACTATTGTTTAACTACTTTCGAATTTTTCCCTCTGTAGAGGGACAGGCCCGACTTAAGCCAAGCATCCGGAAGGACGCGTGCGTGGGCAGGAGAGAGCGCGAGTTGCAACTCTTCGGGAATGGCACAGGTATGGGGGGCCAAAAAATATACACCACCACCACCTCCCTCCCCCTCTCCCTCTCGCTGGACAGAGGAGAGAGGAGGAATCGACGTGGTGGTGGTGGTGGTGTATATTCTCTGGGTCCCCAAGGTAGGGGGCCACCGGCGAACCCTACCCCTACCCCCCACGATTTCTGAGGGGGAGGGTGGGATTCACTTCGTTCGGGAGCTCCCGAGCGAAGTGAACCCCACCCTGCCCCTCAGAAATCGTGGGGGGTAGGCTTAGGGTTCGCAGGTGGCCCCCTCACAGGAGAGAAGCGGAGAACGAAGCGCATCACGACTGCGAAGCCTCACGCACCCCATGGGCCAGCTACTGTCCGTCTTGCTCATGTGGTGTGTGGGATCCGTCGGCCAGGCCGAGACCAGAACAACATCGGACCGGGCATCTCCGAGATCCTGCGGCTCTGGAGGATGCCTCTGGCGCCGAGGCCCCTCCAGAGCGGTCTCGGAAGGTCCTGGAGCGCTCTCGAACGAGTTCTTCTAGTCGCCATGGGTCTCAGAGTGTTGCCACCTCTCGGGGAGCAAAACTTTCGGTGGCAACTCATGGGGGCCTCACATACCATCTTGTCGGCTCTTGCGAGTCGACGCTCGCTAGTCGACGCTACATCGACGCTGGTCGACGCTAAATCGACGCTAAATCGCCGCTACCTCATCGACTCCCAGACGCTAATCGACGCTAAACGACGCTGAAGACGGAATTATGAGGGTACACCAGGCTCCCATGATTTGCTACCGAAGCCTTGGGTCCCAAAACATTGTCACCTCTCGGGGAACAGAATTCACTTCTGCGGCCTTCCGCCAGCACTGCGACAGCGGACCCGCCCTCGTTTCTTCTTCCGCCAGCCTTCCCGCCGCCGCGGAGGGGGGGGAAAAAAAAACACGCCAGCCTCTCGATCCCATGGAGGGTTAGGACCTTCTCCGCAGTGCCCCGCGCGGACTTTGCCGCGGACCCGCCTTCTGCACGGGCGTCACCTCGGAGGCCACGGCGAGCCCCAGCAGGGCGGCCGCCACGAGGGCTGCTGCGGCTCGGAACTGCATTGCTGCCTCAGTCGGTTGTTCGCGGAGCGCAGACGCCGCCCTCGTGGCGTGCTCTCGCGAGGGGGGGCGCTTCGCGCGGCGCTGCCTGCGCCAGAATATGGCCGAAGCAGGGCGGGGCGAAGGCGCGCCAGAAGGCGACAAAACGGAGGGGGGGTGCGGCAGGTTGGTGTCGTGACGACTTGCGCGCGCTCGTGTCTGACATTGCGTGGACCTTAAAGGCAACTACTGTGAGGTCTTCGTCGGAAAGATTAAGGAGGATTAAGCCACGTTAGGGGGCTGTTACGCCCGATTAGGCCACGGATTATGGAGCCGGATTAAACGGGATTCCGGACCAGGGCAAAGTCAGAATTTGACCTCCCAAGAGTTGCATCCGAATGGATCGTTCCGTTCCATCTTGAACGAGCGAGGCTTCCCGACAGCGCAACTCGTTCGACATCGGCGTTCAGACTTCGACGTTTGCGCGCCGGAGGTGCCACCGCGACGACCAAGGGCGCGAACCTGCAGACGAGGGCAGAGACGGAGAAGAAAGCTGTGCCTGCGTTGACTGCGGTGGCGCGTGCTCGCTGCAAGCAGGTGAAGGAGCCACTGGAGCGAAACTCTGCAGCTGTGACATTTACGCGCTTTGATGGAGAAGGCGCACCTGTGCGTGCACATGCCATTGAGTGCGAGTGGCAAGCGCCACGGTAAGCCAAATGCAATAAGAAGTCAAGGTGCAAGTTGAACGTGTAAGCGACAACGCGTAGGGTGTAATTCTGCGAGTGCTCGCGTGCATAAATCTGTAAACTTGCAACCATCAAGCAATATCAAAGAGGAAATTCGAAAATATGTCCGAATTGTCAGCCCCGGGGGGTCTGCATCTTTGCGGCGAATAAGGGGGCCCTGGCAATCCTGGCGAGGGGAATGGAGGGCAGATCGGGGCCTTCTGGTTGGGTTCGGGTGGTTTGGTGGGCGGTGGACACTTGCGACAGACGGTTTCTGACAGTGTGCCTCCTCTCCGAGCCCTTACCAGGCCACGAGGCTGTCAACAAAAAACTGCCCAGGAGGAAGAGCCCCTCCTGGGGAAGGCGTCGGGACCTCCCGGGGCCCAGGCCGTGACAGGAAATGACGACGTCGAGGCCTGCGGGCTATACCCCCGCCGTGGCCGAGGTCGGCAAGGGGGGTCCGGCGCCGACCCAGGAGACCCGCGCGGAACTGGGAGGTTGTCTGCTTATCATGATGACGGGGCCCTATACACCACAACCACCACCACCCTCATCCCCTCCCTCCCCCAGGAAGGAGGAGCCGAAGATGAGGGTGGAGGAGGGAGGGGGAATGGAGGTGGTGGTGGTGGTGGTGGTGGTGGTGGTGGTGGTGGTGGTGGTGGTGGTGGTGGTGGTGGTGGTGGTGGTGGTGGTGGTGGTGGTGGTGGTGGTGGGTGGTGGTGGTGGGTGGTGGTGGTGGTGGTGGTGGTGGTGGTGGTGGTGGTGGTGGTGGTGGTGGTGGGTGGTGGTGGTGGTGGTGGTGGTGGTGGTGGTGGTGGTGGTGGTGGTGGTGGTGGTGGTGGTGGTGGTGGTGGTGGTGGTGGTGGTGGTGGTGGTGGTGGTGGTACAGTGGAGGCCAGTCCAAAGAAACCTTCCACAAGACCCCCAACCTTGAGACCCCAGGACACCCATGGATTTTTGGTGTGGGAACGGCACGTTTTTTATAGCAAAACCATTGAAACCATTGAAACCCAGGGCACCCTGGAGGCAAGCAGGATGTTCCTTGGCATGGGCCCCCACTGTATGTATATATATATATATATATATATATATACAAGATTTTACCGGCTCGCTTCGCTTCGCCTTTAAAATCTTGGTCGCATGGCGTCAGCGAGGTTCGCCTCTACCCGTGGTCGCACGCACCGCGGTCTGATTTGGCAATGAGGCTCACGGGGCCCATAGGGCTGATACGATTCATTGGGTTCTTTGGGTCAGTGTGCTGAAAGGCTCTTTGCCGTGACTGGATCTTAGAAGTTCGGGGGCGGAATGTGGAGATGGGAAACGTCGGGCATCGCGGCACCTGGGGGCCATGGGGTTTCCAGTGTCCGCAGCCGAGCTTGAATTCAGAAGGGGCTCTCGGGCTGATGAGCTCATTGGGCGCGGAGGCGCGGAGCGCCCAAGGCATCGCCGAAGCCAATGGTCTTTGGCCACGTGGACCGCGTCGGCTCATGGGGCTTCCTCGGATCATGGGGCCCATGGCGGTCATTTTGCCCACTGGGCCCGGAAGGGTGATCAGGTTCAGGACGGGTCGTCCGGGTCGTAGGGCTCATAGGGTCGACGGGGCCCATGGGGCTCATAGGGCTCGTCATGCTCTGTGGGCTAGCGTGGGCCGTGGGGTGCATGAGTCTGAAAGGGCTCTCAGCGCGCTTCACCCGCGTGAACGCCCTGAGCGGCATGGGGCCCATGGGGTGCACAGGGCCCGCAGGGGTCATAGGGCTTATAGAGCTCATGAGGCTCATAGGGCTCGTAGGGCTCATGGGGCTCATAGGCCTCATAGGGCTCATAGGGTACATGGGGCTGATAAGGCTCATTGGGCGCATAGGGTTCATAGGGCTCATAGGGCTCATCGGTCTCAGAGGGATCTTGGGTCCCCCAGGGCGTATGGGGCGCATATGGTTCGTAGGGCCCATAGGGCTCATACCTCATAGGGCTCATGGGGCTCATAGGTCTCGGCTGTCTTGGGCTGTCTTGGGGCTGTCTTGGGCGTGTCTTCGGCTGTCTTGGGGCTGTCTTGGGGCCGTCTTGGGCTCATAGGGCGCATAGGGCTCATAGGGCTCGTAGGGCTCAAAGGGCTCGTAGAGCTCACTCGGCTCATAGGTCTCGTAGGGCTCACAGGGCTCATGGGGCTCATAGGGCTCGTACGGCTCATAGGGCTCATAGGGCTCATAGGGCTCGTAGGGCTCGTAGGGCGCATAGGGCTCATAGGGCCCGTAGGGCTCATAGGGGCCATCAGGCTCATAGGGCTCTTGGGGCCCATAGGGCTCACAGTGCTTGCAGGGCTCATGGGGCTAATAGGGCTCGCAGGACTCGTAGGGCTCATAGGGCTCATATGGCTCAGTGGGTCCATAGGGCTCACAGGGCTCATAGGGCTCGTAGGGCTCCTGGGGCTCATAGGTCTCATAGGGCTCATAGGGCTCATCGGGCTGACACGGCTCATAAGGCTCATAGGGCTCATGGGGCTCACACGGATCGTAAAGATCATAGGGCGCACAGGGCTCATGGGGCTCGTAGGGCTCCTCATAGGGCTCATGGGGCTCATAGGGCTCGTAGGGGTCATAGGGCTCATAGAGCGCATAGGGCTCGTAGGGCTCATCGGGCTCATAGGGCTCGTAGGGCTCAAAGGGCTCATGGGGCTCATAAGGCCCGTAGGGTTCATAGGGATCGTAGGGGTCGTAGGGCGCATAGGGCTCATAGGGTCCATAGGGCTCATAGGGGGGTTCGCGGAGCTTGCACGTCTTGTCGACTCATTGTTGCCGTCGTGGAAGCCCAGGGCACAAATGAGGTGGAAGCGTATCTATTTCCGAAGGATGTTGATGACTGTAGCTTCCTGGGGCCGCATTGGGAGACCCTTGGGTGCGTTATTGAGCCGTCTTGGGGGCTGTTTTGGGGATCCCTGGGGGCATTTTTTGGGCCTCTCGGGGGCTTGAGACCTGATTGGGGCGTCTGGGGAGAGTCTGGGGCCTCTCGGGGGCCTCTTGGTGCGTCATGTTCCTCCTTTTCGGCTTCTGTTGGGGGAGTCTTGGGGCCTCCTGGGCTCGTCCCGGGCGCTCGTTGGAGAGTCTTGAGGCCGTCTTGGGCCGTCCTGGGGCTGTCGTGGGGACCTCTTGTGCCTCCTTTGGGCGGTTTTGGGGGCCTATGGGGCCGTCGTGAAGTGCAGAAAGCGGAGAAAGCGGAAACGGCCAAATACTCGGAAAAACTATACGAAATTGACGAAATTAGTCTCTCGAAGCCTTCTTGGGGAGCCTCTCTGAGCTCTCTTGGGACCTCTTGGGAGCCTTTTGGGCCGTGTGTGGTCCCTCTGTGAGCGCTCATGGGCCGTCCCGGAGCGATCTTGGGCCGTCTCGGGTCTCCCCGGGACCGTCCGGGAAGCGTTCGTGGGCCCGGCCGAGCGGCGCAGGGTGGCCTGGAGGGGGTCCGAATCCGAACTTTCGACTTTCACGTCCGAGGGGCCGAATCTATGTACGGGGGGGGGGGGGTTTTCCTTATAAGAATATTCGAGAAGGAATATGTTATGTGGGGCCCGCACTCATATGCAGCTCTGCTCTCCGAGCGAGCAGGCCAAACGAGCCGGCCCAAAGCCGCTGGGCGCCCGGAGGGACGGCGCGCCTGGGGTGGGCCCGCCCCCCTGCACAGCAGAGGCGGAGGGGGCAGAAAGAGCCCGAGCACGCAACCCAAACGATCGGCCATGGGAGCAACACAGAGTCGAAGACCCCTCGACCTGGCGCGCGGAGCGCCCTCGGGTTGGGCGCCAGAGCCACATAGAGCCACCGCCAGCGGAGTAGCGGGGTCCAGCGCTGACCAAAGCTACCCGCGCGGACCTCCAGGAGCGTCTGTTTCATGCTTTGTATGGCTTTGTGTCTTCCCCCAAAAATTGAGGGCCTCTTCTTGGCCTCTGAGGGGCCCGGTGTTGGGCGCCCTGCCTCTTCTTCGGCGGCGCCGAAGCAGCCCCCCCGCCCCAAGCGCCGAGTTCACGAAAGACTGACGCCCTGACCCGTGGCAGGAGCGCACGAGTCAGCCTCCGCGCGCCGCCGCCCGGGCAGCAAAGCCCCCCAGACACGACCGCGCGCTCGGGCACCAGGACTCCAGGACGGACCCGGCCGGTGCACAGTGCGTGCGGCAGGTCACAGTGCTACTCTCTGTCTCGTCCAGAGCCAGCGACGACGACGCCTACGCCGACGCCGACGATGACGCGAGCGGCGACAGAGGCGGCGGCGGCGGCGGCGACTATGACGACGACAACGACGGCGCCGACGCCCGCGCCGACACCGACGACGATGCGGACGCGGACGCGGACGCGGACGCCGACGCCAA